AATAACTTCCCCTGTACATTCCTTGGCATTACTGTCTGTTATATCTCATATATATATATATATATATATATATATATATATATAAGTATATATATATATATATATATATATATATATATATATATATATATATATATATATATGCTCCTTAGCGCCTTTGTTACGCTAAAGAATGCTTACCATTTAGAACGCTTTATAGATTTCAGGCATGGTATACATGATCACCTGAGTAAATGTCATATTGTAAGTTACACTCTACAACGTTATCTATGTTTTATTGAATATCCTATATTGTACTTGAATATATGTATATATTGAAATGAATGGGTCTGACAGTAGAATAATCAGTTATGCTCAGTTACTTATGCTCAGTCACCCATATTTATTTATGTTCACGACCCTTAGATGGTCATACTGCCCATGTAATGTCATTGCGTAATTTTCGTCGACTGCAGCTTTCCCTATTCGCATGTTATCTGCCCTTCGCATTTCTAGGTACTGTTGCAAATGATTAGATCATGCGTTTCACACTTATCTATTAGCGTTATGCCTGTTGGGACAGTGTAACCATATATATATCTTCCATGAGCGCATTCACAATCTCCTTATTGTTACCTTGCAATCGTCTCCTATTTCATCAATGTAACTTTCTTTGCACTGCAGCATTTCTCGGTTTTATTATCTGGCTTTTGCCCCTGTTATTGAGTATACAATTCCCAGGAGCGTCCTCCTCCCGGCCAATTTGCATTTTAGCCATAAATGTTCCCTGCACTCCTGCATGACCCTTTGTCAGTCTGTAGTTTTATGAATGAATGCCCCAATACTATCCTCTTTTCTGCTGTCTTCTGCTCTATTACAACATTCCCATGCGTAGCCTAGATTGCTAAGTGGCTGTTTCATGTCCTTTAAGACCTGTTTCTACAAACCCAAGTACCATTAGTTTCTCCTCCCTTAGCTTTTCTTCTATGTATCCCCACTTCAGCCTTTCCTGCCACCCTGCATGTCAAAGGGGCCTTCTAACACTTTTGAAGCACTTATCTTTTGTATGTGTTTTGCGTAGACCAATGGCCAGGGATAATTTTAGCATAGGTGCAAGCACCTATATCAAATCATTTAGTATTTTAATCGTGAAATAAGGTCACCTCATTGCTGTTCACCGCGTCGGCGCACAGTGACGCTCGCTAGAACTACGCAGGCGGAAATGACGACGATGTACGCAGTCTATCACAGGACGCGTAAAGCCTCCCTCCGAAGCGAAAGGACCTGCTCGAGTTCTGACAAGTCGGGAGGCTCATTTCAACCAGCCTCACCCAGCTGTTTGTCCGCGTTAACAAAACGGCGTGGTCAAGGCACCAAGTTGCCTGTTGTTATGGCAAGAGCGTCCTAAACACATTTGACTGAACAGGCAACAGTGGTGTACGAGCTTCCTTTACGTAAAGCTTTCAGCCCACGTCATTAGAGGCCCCCTGCAACGTCAGAGTGAAATGTTCTCATGTCACCCCGCGAAATTTTACTTGAGGGTAGGCAATTTTTTTCTCGTATTTTGAATTTTTTAAATTGAACAACTTCGTACTGCGTACCGCTATCACTGCCGTTCTTGCTGCACTGATTTGTCCGTACGTCAGTCTACTCAATCCACGAGCAAAAAATAGGTGGTTGAAAAGTGTTAGAGGGACCCTTTCATATATTCTAGGTCGGAATTGGCTCAGCCCGTGTGTCTACGTCGGTTTTTGCCACAGACATTACGTGCCTAATTACTGATGCCACTTTGGAAACATATCTGCCTATAACACCTGTCAGTGTGTGCTTGGTTGTTTTCCTGGTTACTAGCTCTCCTAGACCCCGAAGGGCCCGCGTGCCCACCAAAAAAGCTACTGCGCCCTCTCTAAGTCGACAACCTTTCCTCTTATCGAAGTGAATTCTGTCTCGTTCAAAACCACCCTACCTCTGCACCTCTCTGTTTAGTTCTAACATCTGAAAGCCTTTCTCTCGGCTTCTCTGTCATATCTCTTTGACAACCGCTCTTTGCAAGTTGCCGTCACGTACTGGTACCTCCAGTATCTTGCAGATCCCTATCTGTACCTTAGGCGAAAGGTTTCGCAAGTCATCGACTCTTTTCACCAGTGTGGTCGCTAGTCCGGCCGAATCTTCAATTAAGGCATTGTTTAGACAGCCACAATTATCACGAGGTTTTGTCCACCAGATCTAGTAAGTTTTGCGCTCACTGCCCTCATGACTGCTTCCAGCTTACTTCATGGGAATCTCTCAACTAAAACCCCATTGTCATCTCTCACCCTTTCTTTAACTGCTTCTGCGCGTCGATTTAAATTCGAGTCCCCGACAATTATCACCTGCTGTGATTTTCCAGATAGAGTGTTTTTCACCTTGAGGTTTTTTGCACCTGTGACACCGGCTGCTTTGTCCCCTCCAACCCCACCACTACTCCACTGAAGCTGGGTCTTCTGGCCCTTGAACCAGATGTACCTGTATTTTCCGGACTTGTTTCTTTTTTCTTTTCCATCGTTCTGAGCACCAACGCGAATCTAGGTGCACTATAGCAACAGCACTTGCCTTCTTTACTCGGTGACAACTTTCTGCGGCAGCACAGACAAAGCCACGGGGATGAAGCTTCTGCACATGTGTTACTACATCAAGTAGTCCATTTTTGTGCGATTTCAGTTTCGCAAACGCATGCAATATGTACTTTTTCGCACAACCACCATGCAGTAATGTTACATTTATTTGGTAGGAAATAAATAAAGTGTTCATATTTTAAAAAGATAGAACACGAAACTTCTTTGAAGGGTTGAGATCTATTTCAGAAAAGAAGGCACGGTCGAGCGAGAACTCGGCGATTGGAAGAACGCAAAGCAAGAAACTATTTCCTAAATTTTAGTGCATACTTGGTTGGCAATATTGTTTTCCTTCTTTTACAGACGCTAAAGCATTCTGGAAATGTTCACGTTATCTTTAGGGGATGCAGAGGCAAATATGGGAAGCAAATTTTTGGCACCGATCAGTCATGAACGGGCGTTTGACGTCCGTAAATTCAAGTGGGTGAAACGCCGTCTTTACTCGGCCAAGAACGCTGTTTTGCACAGTCAACAAGGTAATATGCAAGAATGCCTCTGTTTCCCAGGGCAAAGCGCAACGAACGACTCTCTTTGTAGACGCTGACGAAAGAGGTTTTACGGTACACGATCTTCAGCGTTATTGTATCAACAATATCAGGCAGATGAAATACCAACCACGTACGCAACGCAATTTAGGAAAAGGGTCATTGCTTTTACGCAGTTTCCAAACGTACTTTTTGTTTCAAGCAGCTGGTGTTGGTAAAGAATGGCTGGTCGCCGATCACAAGTTTCGTCACCTATAGGGGGCGCGCAGGGTGGTTCAATATGGCACCCACAGAGAGTATGAGTCACTGAGCACATGTGCGTCCTGCACTGCAGTTTTTCTCTTTTTTTTTGCATCGCGATGGCTTTACCTTTTCTGCAGTCACATAGTATGCGCCACCTACACTCTTCAGAAACTCGGATATGATGTTTTTTAGAGATGAAGAAGTCCTGAACGCCAAACACATCACTTGCTTTGGCGTGCGATTTTCATGCGCGTTTCCCTTCACTAAAAGCGTGCCTCACGATCATTACTTGGTTTGTCACCCAAAACTGCAACTAGCGTTATTATATTCTGTATTTACGTTCACGTCCTCATTTTTCAGCGTATCCTTGCCGATGTAACATCTCGCTAAGCTATCGCAATGGTGATATTTTTGACGCGTTTTTGAAAAAAGTTGCAGCTTTGCCGCAAAGGTGAAGCAATGAACGTGATAGCAACAAATCGGAAGGTCACGCGCCGAATGGCAAGAAGACCAAAACGTGCCCCACTCATCTCAAGCACAAATGACAGACGAAACGTGCTCATAGGTACAGATGAACGCTAATAAGCGTGTCAGTCGTTACCTCGCTGTGTTTCAAAAGCGCGCCCTTTTAGTAAACGGAGACTGTCAAACAATTTTAGTGACCGTTTTGCTCCCGGTAACTACAACAGAAATGTTCTAGTGAAGGCCGAACGCCAGCCAAGACGTAAGTGCAAATGCTATGAGCGTCGCTGCCTCGCCGCTACTATGATAATCTTTGAAAAAATTGCGCTGATGGCCGTGGGGCGGTGTGACAGTCTGCGAAACTTGTGAGTAGTGACTATAGGCCCACTTTCACCGAAGATGTCACCCGCACATAAGTTCCCGGTGATTTCCAAATACTAGAAACAAGATATTTCACTACGAACCACCGTCTTTGTTTCTTCCTGCTCGATGAATACAGATCACCTAATGAAGAAGCACTCATGCTCGCTCACAAGCTTCGGTTTGAACTTGCTGAAACCGAGCGACGCCATCTTAGTTTACCGGAGCAGGAAAAAGGTGAAAGAGCAACAAAAAAAAAAACTAGAAACAGCAAAGAACGAAATACCTGCATTGGTGAAGCTTCCTAATAATAATGCGAACATTCTTGAACATAATATATACATCCTTTGTTTGTGTATTTTTCAATAAGCTACGCCTTATACAAAAGTTAGCGTTCGTGAACTACATGCAGAAGCGAAATGAAAGAAGGGCGTGCTTGGACTTCATAGCCTTTGCCTGAGCTGCCACAGAAAGTTGCTCGCCGAATATGAGAAGACCACGCACGCAGTATTCCTAGGTACTAAATATTCTGTGCGCACGCTCTGCAGGTGAGTGGTTATGTCCAGCCGTTCCGAATCATTCTGTAAGCGCCCATCGACGACCTAACAGCCATTAATCATTTAGATTTATAATCAGGCCTCGCATTGATATGTTTCATCTGTTTGGTAAGGTGCTGGAAGACGCTTGCAGGTGTTCATTTTCTTGTCTTTGTCTTTTTTGCGCTACTTTACACCTCCTTAAATCCCATTTTTCTCTGTGATACTGCCTGTGTAGTGAAACTGTTCAGCATACGACAGAAACGTGAGGTGCTATAGGATACCATAGCCGCATTCGCATCCTGTTTGTATCCAAATACCAACTCTGAGATTACTTAGGCTTTTATATTCTAGCTAAAGTGTGCCAAGCTTTCTTGGCAAGAAACGCAGCTTGATGTGATTGATGTTCCAGATTTCAGTCTCGGGAGCATCTAAGTCGCACTCTACTGGATGCTCAGCTACAACACGATATTTTTGAAGTAAAAATGTGATTAGAAGAAATATCTCCATTTTGGCAAACGTTTCTCCTGCACAAGCTCGTTGGCCTGAAAAAAAAAGAAATCACAATGTTAGGCACAACAGCATTAAGTTGCGAGTGCGTTTTACAATTTTTCTGCCCTCAGGTCATTAATTCAATATTCAATCTATAATGCGTTTCTACGGGCACATCAGCAGAGCTTGGAGTTCCTTCCACAAACAGCCTTGGAGGTGTAAAGTTGTGGTTCATCTCAGCCTACGCATCTGCTAAAAAGAATTTGACGCAGCGGTTCGTACAAAACAGTACCACAATGTAGGTTGCTCACTAGCTAACGCCCCCTCTATCGATGGTGCCTAAAGTTTGGATATCGAATAGAGTAAATGCATGAAAACAAAAGAAGCCATTTATATTCACAACGTGATGTCAGGGTGCTACACTGTTCAAGCAAAACCTTTATAAATTTTGTTTTATGACGTCACTGGCGACAAGCACCCATGCATCCACAACTATAATCTGCAGTCGCTAATCAGGCTTGCGGTAAGCGAACTTGTCGTAGTTGTGCATAACAGGAAAGCTTCGAAACTCGTTCGTCAGAATAATTACTGTCGTCCTGCAGTTCTTGTTACCACGCATGTTTCTTGCCTCAATATGGCTGTACTTGATTTACGCCCACAAAGACTGTCATCATGCTCGGTACCTACGTCTTTGAGAAATTGCGCAATTGCAGTAGATGTCTTTGTTAAGATAGTCTGGAAGATGGGAAGAGTGAGGTAAGTCAGAGCTTTGGAATCCTCAGTGATAAGGCTTGAAAATTGGATTTGTAATGTGAAAAAAAAAAACGGCGCATCACAACGGGGATCATATTTATCGACGGCCGACGCTTATCTATTGCTTGCTGTAGAGAGACTCATTTTCACGGCCACAAGTTTAGCCATGTGAAGAGTTGCATCTGGGACAAGATGAAAGTGTTTATTTAGCGTGGTTGGCAAATATTAATACGAAGTCTCATTGTCACTTAAAATGGTCAAGTATCTGATTGTAATCTGCAAATGTCATCGAAAGACGATAGCCTTGTGTGTAAAGAGAGTTAACAAGACATTTATTTGATGTTCTGCGCAAGAAAATCGGTAAATGGTATTCTGGAGGCGCCGCTTTAGATTACTTCGAGCGTGGAGCGGAGGCGAACGAGTGCATCAAGTCCCGACATGGATGGATGGATGCTATGAGCGTCCCCTTTATAACGGGGTGGTGACAAGTATGCCACCAGGCTCGACAAAAAAAAAACCTTTTTTCCTTTTTTTTATGTTGGCCTAATGCCTCTACTTCGATAAATTCTATCTTAATGGAAAAAAGGTAAATTTTCAGCTTAAGTTCTCTGCCATTTACCGCACACTGTCCATATTTTATTTTTCCAATATTTGTTTTTGTCCTTTCTCTCTAATTTTCTGCCACCAATACTCTAACCGTCTCTTACTTATTTCAATCGCGGGTGTGTTCAGCTTTCCATTGTTGTCCCTAAAACCCAAGGCTTCCTGTAGGCTCGTGCCCAAACGTACACCTGGGTGGATATCTCCACATTCAATCAGAACATGCTCCGCCGTTTCCTTATCTTTCCCGCAGCATGTGCACTGTTCTTCTTCTTTACTGAATCTTGCTTTATAACTACGCGTTCTAAGGCAACCCGATCTCGCTTCAAACAGTAAAGCGCTTCCCCTTGAATTATCGTAAAATGCCTCCCTCCTTATTTCATTTTTGCCCTTTCGGTAGTTACTCAAAGCCGGTTTTTTCTCCATAGCTGCCATCCAGTAAATCCTCTCCGCCTCCCTGACTTTTCCCTTAACGCTCTTTGTTGACATATGGCTCACAATACCAGCCGTATATTTACTAGTGAGTCTTCTAGTTCTTTTTCTCCACTGTGTGTCCACGCTCTTCTTATACAAATAACGGAACACCTTCTCTGCCCATCTACTCTCCTTCATATTTCTTAGCCTTTCTTCGAACCTTATTTTGCTCTGCGCTTCCCTCGCCTCAAAACCTGCCCACCCCATATCGCCCTTTACAGCCTCGTTTGTCGTCTTCCCGTGAGCACCCAACGCGAGGCGTCCCACAGTCCTTTGATTTACATCCATTCCCGATTGCACCTCTGCCCTCATGCACACCACTGAGTTCCCAAAAGTAAGCCCTGGAACCATTACACCCTTCCACAGACCTCGAAGCACCTCATACCTATTGTATCCCCACAACGCTCTGTGCTTCATTATTGCCGCATTCCTCTTTCCTTTTGCTGCCGAGGCTTTTTCCTGTACCTCCATGTATCTATCACTCTCATTTACCCATACTCCAAGGTACTTGTATTCACTTACCCTCGGTATTTCTTGGCCTTGTATGGACACCGTCTGATCACAGGGATCATTAAATACCATCAAACCACACTTCGTTACACTGAATCCTAGTCCAAGAGCTTCACCTTCCCTTCCGCATATATTCGCCAGCTGCTGTATATCATCTCGACTGTCCGCAAATAAGACGATATCGTCCGCATAAAATAAACCTGGAAGCTTCTGCTCAATCATCATGCCGCCCTGTTTGTGTGACAGATTAAAACCAATGTTGCTACCTTCTAGCGCTTTTTCCATACTCACCATGTACAGCATGAATAACAGTGGGGACAAAGGACATCCCTGTCTCAGACCCCTGCTAACCTCAACGTTCTCTTTGCTACGCATTCCTTCCCACTCTATGCAAACTGTATTTTCTCGGTATATCTCCCTCAAAAGCTGTATACAGTCGTCGCCCATGCCCATTCCTTTCAATATATCCCACAAAATTTCCTGATTAACGTTGTCGTATGCCCCAGTGATGTCTAGAAAAGCCACGTACAAGGGCCTATTCTCTATTTTAGATATTTCTATACACTGAGTGAGAACAAACAGGTTATCGTCTAACCGCCTGTCGACTCGAAATCCGTTCTGAAGTTCTCCCAAAATATCGTTATGTTCGGCCCATATTTCTATTTTCATTTTTTACTGCTTGCATCGCCAACCTGTATAGTACCGATGTAATGGTTAGTGGTCTATACGAGCGAATCTTGTCCTTTTCTCCCTTGCCTTTATAGATTAAGTTCATTCTACTTTGTCGCCAACTGTCCGGTATTTGTCCGTCCTTTAAGCTTTTTTCTACTGCTTTTAACAATGCTTCTTTAGTGTTATGTCCTAGTTCGTTAATGAGGCTAACGGGAATCCCATCTAAACCCGCGGCAGTGCGCTTTGGAATTTTTTCTTCGGCCTTTTTCCAGTTGAAATTATCTAGTACTAGCTCTTCCTCTGTTGCTTTCTCCGCCACACTTTTACTCACCGGGGAGATCCCCTGGACGCTCTTTTGAAACGAATCGGCTGTTACCTTTTGGATGTAACCTAGCGCTTCGTACCCTTCCAATTGATTTCCTCCTTCATCTAGAATATGTTGTTGCGTTGTGACAGACTTCCTACCTAGCGCCTTTATGTGGCTCCAAAAAATTCTAGGCGCGGCCTTCTTTTTTTCGTGTATCTCTGTCATCCAGCGTTCACTTTCACCTTTAATTTTTGCCTCTACCAATTTCTGTACAATGGATTTTTTCTCCAAATATATTTCCCATATTTTTTTGACTTCGTCCTGCGGCCGCTTCTCCTTTTTTGCCTTTCTATGCTCCCGTGATGCTTCGCGTCGCTTCTCGATCGCCTCCCGATTTCCTTGTTCCACCAACTTTTGGCTTCCTTTTTCCTTTCCAGCAAACGGTTTTCTTCTCTTTCCCTATCTCCTTCGTCATTAGATGTAACAGCTCCCTATACTCCCAGTCCTTGCCAGGTATTTCGCCTACTTCTTCCTCGACTCTTGCGGCTATATTTATTATTTGTTTGTCATTTAAATACGAGCTGCCAGACTTTGATTCCATGCTCATATTTTTAGTTTCGTATCCCATTTGTAATGTTATTCGTTTATGATCACTACCCAAGCTGTTAATGCCTTCCTCATCTATCCTCATTTCTGTCAGTTTGTGGTAAATTCCTTCAGTCATGAGACAATAATCAATACTTGATTGCTTGTTTCCGACTTCCCATGTGATCTGGCCGTCACATTTAGGCCCCGTGTTAACTATCTCCAGACTATGTTGCTCGCAAAGATCTAGTAATAACTTCCCATTGGTGTCTGAATATCCGTCAAGGTCATGTATGTGGGCATTCATGTCCCCTAGAAGGATGATTTCGGCCCCATTACCAAATTCCTTAATATCCGCACTCATGCAATCCACTATCTCCTGATTCTTTTCTCTGCAGTTATTCCCCGTCCACAATTAGGCTACCCCTAGCCACGTTTCCTTTCCACCTACTGTGCCCAGATCCCAGAGGTGCTCTGAACACGTCTGTTTCACTCTAACCCATTTGGCTCCGCGGTGAATTAGCATTCCTACACCCCCACCTTTCTTTTTCGATATGGTCCTGTTACACCCTTCCCAAACATAATTTTTAATATGTGGTGGCTCTTCCAAGTCTCTAAGGTGTGTTTCTGTAACCGCATACACGCCTATCTGTTCTTTGTTTAACTGCTCCTCAATCTCTAGCCATTTTGCCTTCTTTCTGCCACCCTGCATGTTTATGTAACTAATTGCAACACGCGCCTTTTTCCTTTTTCTTTTACCTTTTTTCTGGTTTTTCGCAATTCTACCTGTCAAAGCGTCCTCCTGGTTGTTTTCCCTGTTACGAGCTACCGCGGACTCCGAAGGGCCCGTGAGCCCCCCAAAAAAGCTACGGCGCGTCCTGCCAGTCGCCAGCCCACCTCGTGTCCAAGCCTCTTATCGAAATGAATCTTGTCTCTTTGGAATCCACCCCACCTGTGCACTTCCCTGTTTAAATTCACTACCTCGAACCCCTTCTCTCGACTAATTCGCCATATCTCTTTGTTTGCGTCGACTACCGCTCTTTGCAGGTTGACGTTGCGTACTGGTACTTCCGGTACTGTGCATACTACAATTTGCACCTGGGGGGACACGGTGCGCATGTCATCCACCCCTTTCGCCAAGGTCGCCGCTAGTCCTTACGATTCTTTTTTCAGGACGTCATTTAACCCTCCCACAATTACAACGAGGTTACGATTGTTAGCTTTAGCTGAGAGTTGTTCACCCGCTTGACTCATTACTGTCCCCAGCGTTTGTCCTGGGAACGTCCCTATCGCAACTCTCTTGTCGCCTTTCACCCTTTCTTTGATTGCCGCTGCGCATCGGACTAAATTTGAGTCACCGGCGATAATGACCTGTACAGACATTCCTTCTGAAACCTGCACCTGGCTGCCGACTAGGTGACTAGCGTGAGTCACGGCTGCTGGTTTGCTCCCTCCCTCCCTCAAAACTACTTCCCGGTAGCTGGGCCCTGTGGCCAATGTATCTGCCTTTGTCATGCCTGTTTCCCTCATCTCTCCCGCACGGGGGGTCGTCGCCATAATGCTTCCGCCGTCACCTGCGTCTTCGTTCCCCTTCACGACCTTCGATAGGCCTTTCTCGGCTGCCCGGAGTCTTTCCTCCATGGCTGACGTTTTCTCTCGCTCCTTCGCCAATGCATTCTCCAGCTCTGCGATTTTCTCCATGAGCCCACTCTGGACCGCCATCATATTTTCATTTTCTCCTCGAACTCGCACTGTCTACACTTGGCGTCATCTTCTGCTTTCTCTTCCGCACTAATTTCCACCTTCCTCCCTATCCCGCACTCTGAACACTTTACGGTCTTTTTGACCATGGCTAGCTCAGTTTACCGATGTCCACGTGTTAGAAAACTGTACTAAAATACACTGGTCTAAGCCAAAAAGAACCACAATAATAAATAAATACGCTACACTTCACAGCACCTGCGCATGCACGTGGTCGGTCTACGCGCAGGCCTCAGCCACGTGGTGACTGGAGAAAAAAACACACGTGAAACTTAAGCGCCACCTGAGACTTAAGCGACACACGTGAAACTTAAGCGCCACCTGGTAGTTGTCTTAGAAAACAAAACGCGTGGCTCTGAGACGACTCAAACGCCCATCTCAAAGTGATAAGGCGTACAACGCAAGGCGAAGGTTAGGTGCCACCACCGTTTCGTTTCAGCAAAGCGTTGGAAACACTCATCTTTACATGCAAGTGTTGCATGGTCAGCGTGGTGTGATAAGCGCTACGGTCCTAAAATTACCTATGTATGTTTCTTCTAGTAAGAGACGCACATTTAAACTATAAACGTGTTGTTATGGTGCCCCAGACATGCGCAATATTTGTTTTTTAATTGACAATTGCACAAGCATCAACGCTCAACCTTGAGCAACATAGGTGGGCGCTTCGGATGGGGTCAGCCGTTTCAAGTACCCGATGCCGATAGGAGTGGAAAAACAGACAAATGTACAGACAGACAGGCAGACTAAAATATTTATTTGCGTCGAAGGTCCCCAAGAAAGACTATCGTCTTTAAAACAGTTGAAGCGCGGGTAGATTAGGAAGGGGACGTTGCTTCTACGGTTATCGCAATCTCAGTGCCCATTCAAACTCTCTTATGCTACTGCGCTGTGCGTCACAGATTGGTGGAAGGGGCTGGGCAACACAAATCCAACGATAGCAGCTTCACTTTTTCGGCTTCGCCGCTGTCGCCGCCTTGCCGGACTTCCGCGTTCACCAATCGAATGTCACAAGACCAGACCTCTGCTGCTTTATGGGGAACTCCAACGGAATCCGCACAATACAACAGAACCACCATACATCAGCAGTCTTCCGGAGAAAACTTCGAGGTGTCGCTAATTATATGTAAGCAGGTGAGCAGAAGCAAAGGCTGGAACTCAGATGCGCAGCTCAGTCATGTATTTTCACTGACACCACTCTCGTGTGGTATGAGAACTTTCAACACAAGTTGATGACTTGGAACTTTTCGTCAAATGAGTGCAGAAGTGCTTCAATAATTCTGACGAAAAGAAGTAATGCGCTGGGAAAGCATTAACTCAGAGGGCTCGTACAGCTTCCGTCAGAGACTTGTAAGACTTACATCGAAGAATTCTTGAAGCTGTGAACGAATGTGGATTCCAGGATAATGAGGAACTATCCTGAGCACAGGCGAATCACTCAGTAATAGACTAGTGCTTCCTACTGAAACGTGCCAATCATTGCAAATCGGCAATGAGACAAGAGACTCCGAGAAGACCCAGAGATCGCCGGCTTGCTTTCAGTTAAAACGCGCACTCTGCGAATTTTCATTGTTCTACTACACACAAAATATCCAACCGGTACTACACTGCCGGCCGAGATCCAGGGCCTGAGTACATGGGGTGGCCGGCAAAAGTTATGTGGCACGAGCTTTTTTGTTGTTGTTGTTTTGGTAAATTAAGAAGTAACATGCGATAGAAAACGTTTCCTTTGTCGACGTTGTCTCTCGCGGCGCAGAGAGTGTTCTCATTGCTTACAAGCTGGTAGTTGAATGTTAACAGCACAAACAGCTTTTTTACAGTACGCCATTCGCTATCTCACCGCACGGCGAGTTTGACACTCTCTCTAGCGCACAACCAATCATCACGACAGAAGCAGAATGCAATGCACGCCAGCACCCTATAGCGGGCTTGACCCTTCAACAAAAGATGCAATGCCTAGTAAACCAAAAAGAAGCTTTCCAAAAGAGAATGGAAGTATCTGTCTCTGAGCGCACGTAAGTTGAACTGCCTGATGCGTGGAGACTCGGAAAGCATGCACAGACTCAAATGAAACTGTAGTAATTAAACACTGGGTATTCGTCTTACTGTTTCTAGATTACCAATATTCCATCAATAAATCAAATGCTGTCTTAAGGCTCCTCAGACTTGAATTCATCAATTTAGAGCCATTTGATAAAATTTCATTCCTTGTGAACTTTTTCCGTGATTAAGAGGTGTTTTAACCAAGCAGCTACCGGCTCAACGCTGTGTAAGGACGACTTTTTTCTTCGTATTGAGTCCTCTTGCTGCTTGCTTTATGTTGTGCGTTCAGTAAGCACTGTTCACTCAATAATTGCTACTAATTTTCTTATTTGATGTGCTGGAATACGTCTCATCAACGCCAAGTTTCGAGCTAAATGGTAAATATTCACGCTAAGATATGGTAGACATGTAAATGTGGACAAAGTAGAATATAACTGGACAACATAAAATTCGACCACCAATAGATTTTGGTGCCAGTAACAGAAAGTGAAGCGAATTTACGTTTTTTCGAGAACGTTTTTAGTGGTAGCGTGACTTGTCAATCCATATTGGGCACTTATCTGCTTGAGCGAACAAAAGTTTACGTTCTCCACATCTGCCACTCAGTGTGTACTGTCTATGCTTTACCAGACGTTTATCAGTTTCCAAACTTCACGTTGTAACAAAAATCACCTACCGATGGAAAACGGTATATAATGTTGCGGCTTGTGCAAAAGTGATTTCCGATCTTCAGTGAGGTAGCGTTCAGGGTAAAATTTTGTGGGCTCTTTCCAGAGACTCGGGTCGTTATGAACAGCCCACATGTTAGGAAGAACTATTGTTCCCTTCGGTATGAAGATATCACCAATGACCACATCCTCTGCGCACCTGAAAGCAAAACAAGCAATCTTGAATTTAGAAACACACACACACACACACACACACACACACACACACATATATATATATATATATATATATATATATATATATATATATATTGCCTAGAAAGTATCGGAGCAGTTTTTTTTTCACTCACTTTTTTTTCACATTTACATTGCAATTCACTATAATATCTTCCCCTGTTCGCAACTTTCGGGCATCGTGGCACCGCTAAGCGCTGACGGCTGGAAGCTCTGTTGAGATGTCTGACGCTTTGAATACGCTTCAAACAGCAAACGCTGCAGCTTTTTTTGCGTGTGTGATTGTTTTTCTACTTTGTAAATGGCCTCGAAATCACCGTAACCCTTTGATTTTCTCAAGGCAAAGGAAAAGTAGAAAGAAAAAAAAGCCAACTGATTTCATTGCGTGCCTCGATGCTTACAGCCCATATACACCAAGAAGAAAATTTAGCGTCCCGTTTAAATTAGCGCCCCAAAAAGTCATCACGGGTTAAGAAGGTTAACTTAGCAGGCAAATAACCAAGGCCCCTTAGTGAGTCTATACAGCACATACTTTCTGCACAAGCAAAGCAGTTTCCGCACTTGCAGTTCTCGTACTTAGTTTGTCTGCTCGATGCGTTCCACTTCTGGAACAAAATGAAAGGACCAGTTTGAAACCGTTCATCGCATCATTACACATCTGAGGCGTCTGCGAAGTTCTTCCAAGACCTTCACATCTGCAGCAATTCGTGCAGCATTGCGCGCAATTACGTTTTGCCAGCAATGTAAAGAACATACGCATGGCCTTTATTTACAGTTTATGCATATTTATTTACCGAATACGCAACCCAGCATTTATTTACGTAATAAAGTAAATTACCGCTCCCCTACTTTCTCAAATATGCCCAAGGGCCACCGAAGCGCAAAGAATTGCAGTTTTTTCAAAGTGCACTTTCCGCTATCGTCTCTTGCGGGGTGATCATCTCAATGACTGCCAAGTTGTATGTATAGTCACGCCACCAGTAGATCTAGAAAAATGTGAATACTTTCCTTGGCAATGCTGTGTGTTAGATCTCAATATTATTGTGTCAAAAACAGAAAACCGTGCCCTTAAGTATAGACTTCTTTCCTTAATTTATTTAGGCAGGTTTTGTACTGGCAGACTTGGTGCATTTATGGTGTATACGATTACTATTGGTCAGCTGACAGCTGGTAGTACGTTCACGTGTTACTTGACGCCTAACAGGCTTATAAAAAGTGCGCCACGCTCGCTGCATGGCTACTGGTGGCGCTGACTGACACTCTCATAACTTAATTCACTTATATAATCATTGAAATGGTTGGGGTGATAACCACCCTGATATCTCAGTGGTAGAGCGTCTAACGCAATATTCGAAGGTCGCAGGTTTGATTCCTGCCCACGGCGAGTTGTTTTTCCCGAATTTTCCTTTCTTCACTTTACATTACAAGCCTGTCTAACAACTTCCCTCATACTTTCTTTAGCGTTATTTTCTGTTAGATCTCAATATTATTGTGTGAAACGCAGAGAAACGAGCCTCTATGTAGACACGTTCTTCTATATATATATATATATATATATATATATATATATATATATATCACGCATATTTTGATATCGAATAAGGATTAAGGAATGGAATAAACATTATCGTTGGCTTGGCACAGCATAATTTCGCAAACATGTCGTCTGCTCGACCAGACTTTGTCAATAAAACAAATAAATTATGGCGGCTTTTTTTATAAGAACGCCTAAATGGTATATATGAGTGGAAGTTATAAATAGCAAGATTGACAAAATAAAAGCACGGTCACAGACATGCAACGTAGAATCATTCGCTCACATCTGTTACTCGTGGCAGTGATGTCAAATTACAAACAGTAAGATAGATTGCACACGCAGTTGATAAGGGATTACGCAGTAGTAATGTGGCAGTATTACTATATAGCCGTCACATTGACGCAATATTGTTCTATTGCAATGAGGGCAGTGGACATGGAATTCGAGTGAATAAAGAAGAAAACATGCTGTGTTTTTATCTAGCTCTATCCTGCGTTTTTAAATTTAAACATGAATTTAAATTTATTTAAAATTCAATTTAAATTCAAATAAAAATTTCTTTACTGATAAATATAATACCTAATTTAAATTTATGTTGAAATTTTGGTACATTTTTTAAAATAAGTTTATATTAATTAATATTTAAATATAAATTTAAAAGTACTACACTGGAATTACCGCTCCATCTTTTCAGCAGCTACAGACTTACTTCAACTTTACAATAATTATTCCCCTAATATTGTTGCTTTAAAAGAAACTTGGCTCGCAGAAAATTAGTATTTTAGGATTTAAAATTACCGCACATTTCGTCTAGACCACCCAACTCAGGGTGGAGGTTTGGCAATATTTATCTAGTCTAAACTCGCCCACAGAGCTAAAATTATTTATCAGTCAATGACTTTAGAAAGCGAGATTTTAGTCTTAAGCATTAGTATTCCCGGGTCCCTCCCATTCTCATTTGTTAATACCTATTTTTTTCGAGTGTTCTAAATTCTTCCGTTCTAGATACTGCAGTTCACTATTGCCAAAAAGATAATGTATTATTAGGCGACTTCAATTCTTATCATCTTTCGTGGGGTTGTGAAATTGATTTGAATCAAAAACGATTATGGGATTGGGCGAACAAGAATACTTTTATATTCCTAAATAAAAAACTCCTATTTTTATGTGTAATCAGTCCTCCTCGAAGCTCGATCTAACTTTTTCTGGCGCTAACCTTTCCATCTTATCATGGCCTGTGATTAACTCGGGAACAAGTAGTGACCATATGCTAATATTGTTCGAGGTTGTATGTTCAATAACCTCCAAGAATAGATCTTCCGTCACACATGTACACCTAATATATTCGAGAAATTGTTACGAGGTGCTTTATCTAACCAAACGAATGATGCGGAACTAGACGCCATCAGAATAAGTGATATTTTGAAAGAGTCGGTAAATAAATCAAACTTTATCATTGAAAGCTCTAAACCATCTACCAACCCATGGCAGAATGCAGACTGTTCGCGGGCTTATAAACTAAAAAAAAGGTGCATGGAAAAAATTAATTATCAACCAGCGTCCCATGCACGTGAGTGATTTTAAGTATGCAGCCACTATTTTTAAGAAAACCACCGCTAATGCGAAGAACAAACTTAACACGACCGATGTGAGTTCTTGTCAAAGCCGGTCAATAGAAAAGCAATTTTTCTCTTCTGAGAAATAAGAATGTTCGTCCGATACTAAAAAGTATAGAATCTGTAGTATCGTCACCAGTTAAACTAAAGGCCTTTATAGAAGATATAGCTCAGGGCCTAGAAGTCGCTTTACAACACTTCTCTCACACCAAGCCCAATCCCCCCATAGGGGTGAGGATTGTGCAGAGGTAACACCTGCAGAATTAGCCAACGTAGTCAGAACATTACCCCGTTCTTCTGCTGGTCCTTATGTCATGATGACGTTGGTAATAAAATCAGGACATAAAATATACCCACTTGGCCTACTGGAAATTAATATTCACTTCCTTAGAAGCTCTTGGATTCCACCCGATTGGAGAATGACAAAAATGATTCCATTATTAAAAAAGCGAGGCACTCGGTTTACTTTAGATAATAGCAGGCCCATTCCTCTTACATCGAACCTAGTAAAACTCACTGAAAGAATTTTATATAGACGTATAAATCAAAAGATGTCAGAAAAATTGACACTGAGCCCATGTCAAATTGGATTCAGACGTGGTTGCTCCATTTCGTGTGCGCACGTGGATCTCGAAAGCAGAATTCAACTTGCTCGATATCAGAAACAATACTCCGTTTTGGTAACCTTAGATATCACAAAAGCCTATGATGGCGTGGAGCATGTGAAACTGCTAGATTCGCTCCAGAACTTAGGACTGCCTCAATACTTTGTGGCCGGCGTCCATGGTTTCTTAGGTGATTAGAGAATTTTTCTTCTCGCAATCTGGTGTCAACTCTTCAGTATGGAGGTATACCGCAAGGGTCCGTTCTATCACCCTTATTATTTATTGCACTACTATGTACCATTCTCATACAGCAAGATGTACAGGTCTATGTGTATGCCGATGATATCACATTTTTTGCTGCGTTGGCGGACACTCACACACTGTACCTGACTCTGCAGACATACATGAATAGTCTGGAAACGGGGCTGGAGGATATCAACCTATGCCTCAATACAAACAAAAGTACAATCATACTTTTCACATAATATCCCCAAGTGCGAACTTCACGAATGTACCGACAATACGACATACCTCAGGTCAACTCAGTAAGGTTCGGGGGGGGGGGGGTAACCTACACCGAAACACTTCAATGGAGTCCCCACATAGAAAACATGGCTTTTAAAGGAGCGCGTGCCGTAGGAATGCTGCGCAGGCTCGGTGATTATCGTGCCGGTTTTCGCAGTGTAACCAAGAGTGGCGCGCCAGCTGTGGGCCATGGGCTGAAAATCGAGGAAGAAGAGGCAGAATAGAACAGCTAATATTCAGGCAACCAAGCGTATACCTTTGTGATCTTCAATCAAAAAAAATTATTTATTACTCCCCAGGGCAGAGTGAAGTAAACGCAGCTGAGTGGTAATCATAACACCTCAAATCTCAAAATTGCTCAAGTTGATTTTTTTGTCGTTTGCTCTTTTTATGTTGTTTTTATTTTTACATTAGTCCTATTTTAATACCAATTCATTACACATAGTTAAAATGATCACAGAAAAACTGCACTACACTTTCTTGGCCAATCCCCCTGAGTGGGTATGAGCTAACCTCCCAGGGAAACAAAACAAAACAAAACAGCTTGCCCGACGAACGGGTGTTGTGTCTGTCTCGCTTGTTATATCGGCGTAGCCGTTCAACGAACCTGTGTGCGACGACCCACGTGAAGAAACCGTCCTACGGAGCGGACGCACTTTCCAGCAGCCCGCAGCTCCTGCTA